TTAAGATAATAAATGTGACCTTTTTCCGATTTCAGGCGACACATGGTATAACAGTACTGGAAATCGGCAAGAGTAATCCTAGTACTCTCTTGTTTGGCTAAAGCTATGATACCGTTAATAACTCGGTAAGAGTTGATGGCAAGTTGCATTGGGTTCAACTTATAGAAATGAAGGATTTGACGAAAAAAATGGTCAAGTGGAAACCTAAGTCCACACTCAATAAGCGCAACCACTGGGAAAGGCATGAGGTTTTCATCGGGCATGATAGAGTCATCCTCCCCAGCCAACCTTAGATGAACGTCGGCTGGGATTTCGAACTCCTGCCTAAAGTACCTTAATTTTTCTGGGGTGTTTACCCTATGTTCCCACATACCCATGACGTCGGCTTAAAATGGAGATATTGAATTTCATGAAGAAGTATTTTTGGAGGGTTTAAAGGACCTCGGCTAAAAATCTACAAATATGCTATGATAAGGGTTTGTATGGATCTAGAAGAAATTCGTTTCAGTTTTTCCTAAAAATTGTGGGTTCTACAAACAAGTCTCAAACCTAAAGCTATGGAGATGAAGATTGACGGAATGAATCTGGAAAACAGAAAAACAGGGATCCGTTTCAGAAACAAGAATGGTGATGAAGAAATCAAGACAAAAAGATTGCACAAGTGTATCAGGCCAAGAACAGTGGTAGAAAGCAACAGGCATGTGAACAGTGCGAGTGTTCAAGACATAGACAAAGAGCAAAATAATGAAATAAACATGTTCAGATACATGATTCGTAAATCAAATATTCGAGTAAAACAGCAATATGATTTCATGGAACACAACAAGAACTAAAAAACAGGAGGAGTGGTGACTTACCAGAGAAAAGAAGCCGATGCTTGAGATCGCCGAAGTCAGAAAAACGGCAGTAGCGAAACAGATTGGCCAGAACTTCGATGGAAGAAATGGATAGAGCAAGTTGCAGAGCTTTAGAGCTTGGAAAAATGGAGGATTGGAGGAAGCTAGAGAGAGAAAGAGTTCTGAATAAAGGCAATGTAAAGTGAAAAAAAATGGAAGGGGGAAACAAGTTTTGTCAAAAACTTGAAACGGCGGAAAAAGAGGGCAATTAATGCGCCTGGAACAGCGAATGCGTCAGACAGCGCATGTAGGCGCGAAACGACTTATAAGCGCGTCCAGAGTACGATCCAGTAAGGAGAAAACACGTGGCTAAACGGTTGAGTTGTTATGTATGATAGCTCGTACGCGTGAAGGAGCTCTTGAAATTCTTGATCTTTAAGAAGACATATCGGCCTACGATGATTATCTCGAATTAAGCCGATATACTAGCATGAGGTACTGATATAGGTTCTATCACCTCAGAATGCCACTACTAGATGTTGAAATTTGATTATAATTGTGGGAATATATTTTCTGAGTACCAACACATGGCTAAGGTGGCGCCGACGTGTCAACCGAGGTGCCACGTGTCCTGGTCATGACGCCGAGGGGATCTCGGCAAGGCTGAGGTTACCTCCGAAGATATCGGAATCCGAGATAAGCGGATAAGGCACAAGAGTCCTAGAAATGGGGAAGACTATAGTTAGGAACGCATAAGACTCTTAGGGAGTTTATCCCAATCCTACTGGGAGTCCAAGATTAATAGTAATCCTAAGTCCATTAGAGTGAGGCTCCTGTTGGGACAAGGATTGAGTTAGCTATAAAAGAGAGGCACCCTCGTGGGTCTAAGGTACGCAATATATATTTTGAATAGTGAGTTTAGCACTATTGATTATATTTGAGAGATATACTGACTTGATCGTCGGAGTGCCCCCAGGTGGACGAACCACCACCGGAATCTTCTCTTTCTGTTGTAGGTTAGCCAGGTGTCATCTATTCTACTAGTGTTCTCCAACTGAATACTGAGTTGAGCAGTGTGATCGGAAAATCACTCACACAATAACAATAAAAAAATTTTTGGTAATATTAAAATAATTGAAACTAATACAAACTGTATGTAAAAATAAAAATAAATAAGGTAAATTAATAAACATTTCAGTTTAAAAATAGATGATAATATTATTTTTTTTATTCACATTATTAATAAATTATTGTTGAAAATGGATTTTTTTTTTTTAATTCAACAAAATGGATATGCAGATAGGCTACTCTACATGCCCGTTAGAGAGTATTACCTGTTAGCACCCACAGGGCCACAGCACATCTGCAGGAAACCCCACCGCATGTACGTCAGGGTCAAAGCTAAGGCCATCTGCGTGTTCTGAGTGTTAAAAAGTATGTTTAACTCCAACAAGAGGTTCTGGTCATATGTGAAAATGATGTTAACTATTATGTGACAATGGTATTAACTAGTATGTGAGGAGCTCAAGATAATAATTAAAGAAAATTTAATTTTTACTCTTATATTTTGCCTCGATTTTTAATTACACCTCCAAACTTTGAATAATTTCAATTTTACTTCCAAAGTTTTTGAAATCGTATCAATTTTGCCCCTGCAGTCACATTCGAAACGGAAAAAGTTAAAAAAAATTATATTTTGACCTTAAATTTCAAAACAAAGATGTAGACCCACCCACTTTTACTAGCAAACCACCACCACCAACCATCACTTCAAGTCTTTTTATCTCCTTCATCATAACTCCATTTCGCTTCATTTTTACGTAGTTGGATTCACCTCACGGCCTAGTTTTTGTATCACCTCTCATAGTCTCGTTCTTTTTCTTTTTGTATGTTGTCGGAGTTTCGAAAGTTGATTAAAAAAAAAAGACTTTTCTTCTCTTTTCCACTTTTCTTCGAGCCATATTTCAAACTTCATATCTTTTTTGATTCTTAACAGTTCTACCTCATTCTTTCGTCATTCTCTTCACCTCATTTCCTACTTTGTCCTACAATACCTCGCTTTCTCACTTCTTCCTGTAATGGGTAGTTTTGGTATGCCGAAAGTTGTCCGGAAACTAACTTCAGAAATTCTGAAACATTCACTTTTTGTTTCTTTCTCCTCCATCTTCCTCATTCTTATTCTTATTCTTTTTCTTCTTTACTTGTAACATGATTCTAGGTGGTAATGGAGCTGGTGATGGTGGTGGTCGTGGCGGTTCGGCGATGGCGGTGGAGCTCGCAGCAATGGCGATCGTGGAGCTTGATGGTAGTGAAAATGGAACTTGGTTGTGAAGGAGGTGGGTTTGGTGTTGAAAAGTGGTGGTAATGGTGATGCTTATGGTGGAACTTCATTACCTTTATCAATTTCACCAACATCACTACCCGAACCGCCAACTTCACTGCCACCGAATTCCATTACCGCCACCATGAGCATCACTATCGCCACCACCTTTCAATACCAAACCCACCTCATTCACAATCAAATTCCATTACCACTACCATCAAGATCCACGACCATTGTCACCGTGAGCTCTGCCATCATCGCGAGACCACCACCACCACCACCACCACCACCACAACCAGCTCCATTTCCACCTAGAACCATACTCTACATCCTGTTATAAGTGAAGAAGAAGATGAAGATGAAGATGAAGAATGGGGAAAATTGAGGAGAAAGAAACAAAAGATGAATATTTTAGAATTTTCGAAGTTAGTTTTCGGATAACTTTCGGCATACCAAACCACTCATTACACAAAGAAGTGAGAAAGTGAGATATTCTGGAACGAAGTTAGAAGTGAGATGAAGAGAATGACAAAAGAATGAAGTAGAACTGCTAAGAATTGAGAAAGATATGAAATTCGAAAAATGCCTCGAAGAAAAGTTAGAAACAAGAAGAAAAGTCCTTTTTTTTTTTTTATCAAATTTCGAAGCTCCGACAATATGCAAAAAGAGGAAGAACAAGACATGTGAGAGGTGATACAAAAATTAGTCCGTGAGGTGAATCCAACGACGTGAAAATGAGACGAAACAGATTTATGACGAAAGAGATAGAAGAGCATGAAGGGGTAGTTGGTTGTGGTGGTTTGCTAGTAGGAGATGGTGAGTCTGCATATTTCTTTTAAAATTTAGGGTCAAAATGCAATTTTTTAAACTTTTTCCATTTCAAATATGACGACAGGGGAAAAATTGATACTATTTCAAAATTTTTAGGGGTAAAATTGAAATTATTCAAAGTCTGAGAGTGTAAATGAAAATCGAGGCAAAATATTGGGGTAAAAATGAAATTTTCTCTAATAATTATGTCAAACTTGTATAGTTAAATATATTTTTAGGGGTGAGCATGGTTTGAATTGGTCTACAATGGGGTAAAATCAGGACCAATCCGTTATATACGGTTCCTAAAAAATTAGAACTAATCCAATCCGTTTAAATCTTAGAACCAATCCGTTTAAATATAGATTAGATCGGTTTAGGATCACGGGTTTACATAATTAAATAATAAAAAAAATATAGAACATTTTAATTTCATAAAAATATAAACATAACATCAAACAAAAGCAATAAAACTGGATACACATTATACAAATCAAAATTTTCCTCTGTATTAAAACTAAACATAGCATCAAATAAAAGCAATAAGAAAACTGGTTTTAGACAAACAAAAGCAACAAAACTCCATGAATAAAAACAACAAACAAACAAAAGCATAGTAGGAGCAGCAGCACAACAACAGCAATAGTAGCAAATTCCACATCACAACAAGCCAAATCACTTTCCAGTAACAATGTTGACATTGGTTAGAGCTGTAAAGAAAATAATGTCAATTTAAAATAAAAAAAACACCATACATAAATGTAATTTAAATGATATTATGTGGGGCATAAATATAGACTATTTATATACGGTCCGAATCGGTTTCAATTTGAAACCATGGAATTCAATTCGTAACCAATTCGTGGCCTACGATTTTTTAAATTTCCAATCCAAAACCGAACTACACATTTAAAAAATCAATCCAAACCTATCAAATTAGACTAAACCGAATCAGATTACGAATTATACGGATTTCTTACTCAACCTTATATATTTTATCTAAAGCTCAAAAGAAGTGTAATTTACCATTTTCTTTTGGCCTTTTCTAGGGGGTGGGGATTTGAAGAGAACACACTGTTGTGGGGCAAGAGTAGCAAAAAAACTGAAGTTTTGCGTAATAGAAAATTGCTTTTTCCTGTTAGGGATTGAACAAAATAATGCCTACGAATTTTCCCGGTGCGGAAACGTAGTTACGTAGACCCAGTTTCGAAGATCCTTGGGATAGTTCTCAATTCAAAGTCGAAGACTACGTTGTTCTTCAGCCTGTTAGTTGCCAATCGATCTCAGTTGCCCTTTCTATCTCAAATGGCTCTGTTAGGCTCAATTATGCCGAGCGAGGTAATCAACACACACTCTCTCTCTAAGCCACCCGTTTAGGGTTTTAGTTTCACATAAACGTTTTTCTAGCAGTTTGATTCCTAGAGACGTAAAAAATTTCTTAGGGCTTATTAGTTATTTTTAAGTCATCGTACAATAAAGATTGCATTTTTGTTTTTTTCGTGTCTTCTAATCACAATGTAGAAATATGATCAATTATAGTTTAAATTTGTTCGGAATTCAGATTCATTAGAAGCTTAAGATACTGACCCATATTCTCAATTGCGTTTATTTATTTATTTATTTTAAATTGTTGGTGGAGGGGATAATTTAATTTTTTGAATATTTGGATTTATCTGATCTGATCGTGTTATTTATTTGTTTATTTCCTCGAGAAAACAAGAGCTAGTTCTTATTGTTTAATGATTGAATCCTTTCATCAGAGTACTGGAGCTTATTCCAAAACACCTGTTTTTTTAATTTAAAAATTCTAAGTATCTCTGTCAAGCATTAATTTTCCCTTTCAAGCATGTATTGTTGATTTTTATTTGCCTAATTGGCATCTAATGAGAAATTAACAGCAAGCTTTGAATGGTAGGATTTTAAGTTTTTCGAGTTTACTCCATGTGCTATACCAAAGGTTTTTCGTATTTTACATTGCTAGACTGGGCAGTCACTAGAAGTGTCAACTTTTCTGATTTTCTGGTTTAAGGATAGATACGGTTGCGTGTAAAATCGATTTTTAGGAGCTTTGATACATATAAAATATAATTATACCTTGTCTGAAGCATGTAATAACTCATCATGAGAATTCCAGCAAATCACGATATACAAGACCCTAAAAGGGCTCACAACAAGTGTAAGCTATTCAGAAGACTACAAAAACCATAAAATGATCAAAGGAAGAATTCACCTTTCCCAACGTCCATCTATACAAAATGGGCTAATTCTACTCATTATTTTTGTACAGTCTCCCCTTTTCCTTCAAAAGACATACTAATAATCCATGTTAAAACCTATCACCTACTTCACCCACTTAAACCTACTCCACTAAAAACCTAACCCACTACACCACTACCACCTCACCTACTCCACTAAACCTAACCCACTACACCACTACCACCTCCACTTCACCTACTCCTTACCTACTACACACTCACCAGCTTTGATACATATAAAATATAATTATACCTTGTCTGAAGCATGTAATAACTCATCACAAGAATTCCAGCAAATCACGATATACAAGACCCTAAAAGGGCTCACAACAAGTGTAAGCTATTCAGAAGACTACAAAAACCATAAAATGATCAAAGGAAGAATTCACCTTTCCCAATGTCCATCTATACAAAATGGGCTAATTCTACTCATTATTTTTGTACACAGTCTCCCCTTTTCCTTCAAAAGACATACTAATAATCCACATGGCACAAAAAGAAGCCAACAACCATGCTTTCCTTCTCTTTCCAACTGTACTCTCCCTCCAATGAGTTCAACTCTGAATATGATGTTGTTTGTCATTTACGCTTCGTTTGTTTGGGCGGAAAACATTTTCTAATGAAAAACATTTTTTACCAATTTTTTTTTTCAGAAAATATTTTTTGGAGAAGATATTTTTCTATGTTTGGTGGTGGTGGAATGAAGGTGGAGGTGGAGGTGGAGGTGGAGGTGAGAGTGGTGGTGGTGGAGTGGTGACATTGGTAAAGTTTTATGCTGGAAAACGTTTTCCGCCTTTTAAAATTGGAAAACATTTTCTGCTCAAATAGGCTTATTTTCCATTGATCATGGAAAATGTTTTCCATTGACTTTCGTTTTCTATTCTACCAAGCACCAAAAAATATGAATTTTCCACCCAATCAAACGGAGCGGTATTGTTAACAACATTTGCTGTCATTTCTTTTCTACTGATTACATATTGGGAAGATGCATGGAATGCTGATCTTGTGTTCCAAACAATGTAGGTTGGCTTGCGCTTGCTTCTTTGCCCCCTTGGTTCCAACATTGTTGTCCGAACAGCTTGGTAAGCTTCCAATTGAGGTTAATTTTTTCTTTTTTGAACTTAACAAGGAAATATTATTTTGAGGATTATTAATATCTTGGAGATGTTTTGTATGCAGCCTTATTTTATTTGTCTGATTCTTATAATGTCATGCTGCTAGTGCTACTATTGTTTTTGTTATTTTTATTCTAATGCAACTTTTGAACTGTTGTTAGCCCACATATAACTACAATGATTGTTTCCTTTCTCATTCTCTCATGACCTTCTCTCAAAGTAGCATGTACTATGCAAAGGCTAGTTTTTGAAAGAAGTAGAAGCCCTGATATTGATTGTTGGTTAGGTTTACTAATGTGACATTCATTTATGGCTTGTGCAGCTGTTCGGTGGGGGTTGTTTTACCTGTTTACTCTACGTTTAAAGCAATTGAGACAAAAAACCAAAATGAGCAACAAAGATGGCTTATTTACTGGGCAGGTTAGCAACGCTGTTGCCACTTTTTGTTGCAAAGATAATGTTTTTGTTGATGATAAGTAGTAGATTTCTTTTTCTTTTTTTATTTCATGTTTTGACATGGATAATTATTTTAGAAGATTTGTTATTGCCATCTTATCTTCTGTTGATCTTCTGTGATTACAGTTGTACAGCATACCCTTCGGCATATGTTTATGCAAATGATTTTATCTGTCATGTGAAATTGTCTAGTGTATCTTAAATGACTTGAGGTTTTGAGGAAGTTAAAGTTGCCTCATATAATTACCTTCTAAAAACCATTGTACATCATTATTGATGTTTTAAAAACATTTCTTTCGGGAAGTGAAGGTAAAATTGGAGGACTTCAGAAACACAGGATACTTTTTATCTCTAAAACACATCTCTCAAACACAAACCAAACATACCCAATGTTTTTGTTGATGAGAAGTAGTAGATTTCTTTTTCTTTTTTTATTTCATGTTTTGACATGGATAATTATTTTAGAAGATTTGTTATTGCCATCTTATCTTCTCTTGATCTTCTGTGATTACAGTTGTACAGCATACCCTTCAGCATATGTTTATGCAAATGATTTTATCTGTCATGTGAAATTGTCTAGTGTATCTTAAATGACTTGACGTTTTGAGGAAGTTAAAGTTGCCTCATATAATTACCTTCTAAAAACCATTGTACATCATTATTGATGTTTTAAAAACATTTCTTTCGGGAAGTGAAGGTAAAATTGGAGGACTTCAGAAACACAGGACTCTTTTACCAATTTATTTAGTCATGTAGGTGTAAATTATTAAGCTTCTAATTGAATGCATTATGGCACCTTTCTTTCCCGTAGGCATAGATTTTCCTCTAGTCTATACTGAATTTATGTGATATTTTATTCGTATTGCCCTGTTCCTTTTTATATTTCTCTGCTCTCACTGAGACTACTCTTTGCAGCTTTTGGGTCTTTTAGTATTGCTGAAGTTTTTACCGACAAAATTATCTCGTGGTATAGTTTTCTACCCTAATTTGGTACTTTTGTTGTTGTTATTGTTTTTGCATCTTCCACTTGGCATTTTTAGCTTTCTGTTTATTTAGGTATGCAACCTCTGAAAATTCTTTTTCTGGTTTCATCAGGTTTCCACTCTATTACCACATGAAGTTTGCATTTCTTGTTTGGCTTCAACTTCCATCCACTGATGTAAGCTTGAACAAATATTTGTTTTCATTTACTGTTCTTCTCTTTTCTTTTTTCTTTTGAGGAAATAATTGGTTGTTTATTATGTGTTACTATTTTTTGCATGGAGTACTCTAGAATGGAGAATTGATGGAGGTTGGAGACTGAAACTGTTGCCTTCCTGACTAAATTATGAAATTGGTCTTTATTTGTAGGCTAGCTGGAACTCCTTATTCTTCTAAATGTTTACCATGTGCTAAGGATGTCAAACTAGTTTCTTAGTTTTGTTGTTGATCATAATCCATTTTTTAAAACATTTCTTCACTTATTGGCACACCATCACCAAACAAGGTATGCTTTTTTAAAGAGCTAATAATTTTTTGATATCCACATCTGATCACACAGTAGAACACTAAAGGTTCTATATCTGCTTCTAATGTTCTTGGTAATACCTCTAATAGGGAGTTCAATGAAAACCTAATCTTTCATATGAGGTGAGTCAACTTCATTCTCCAATTAATGAGTAAGCACCAGCACAATGTCCTTTGCAATTGACATCTAATAGTATATTTTGATTTGTTTTTCCGTATGTTCACATCGGGAATTGCTTGACAGGAAGTATGCTTGCCATCACTGTCGGATAGAGTTCGTTTAAACAGGAATTTTGGTTCCCATTCATTTCTTCTCTTTTAATAATGATTTTAGAGCCCCTTTGCTGGTTGTGCTGATGCTTTTCTGGAGCAATGTCTGATAGCGAACTTCTCTCTTGTAGGGTTTGGACTCATTAAATAAGTTGCGTTTATCCAGATTAAGTACCCCTGACCTTTTGAGTTTCCATTGTTTAAAATATGGTCAGCCCACTTCACTTTCATTTCTTACCTCTTCTAGTTATTCATCTATCTCCAAATATTTAATGACCTTTACGCACCCACTTTTCCCAAGTTGGCTTCCTTTTTATATCCATGTGATTTGAATTTTTTTGGCTCAAGTTCCCAAAACAGGTTAGGATCTGCCTCATCTACCTTGTCCCATTATAACACTGAATTTTTCTTTCATCGACCTTTCACTCGTCTCTATCTTCATTCCGCAATTTGTTTCTTTCTAGGAAATGAAAAGATTTTTGCATGGCATTATGAATTGTTGGAAAGTAAACATTCCAGTTAGCATGATACAATTTAAATGCAATAGAATACTTTGTAATTTTATTACATAACTATTATACTTGGTGATATTTGTCTAGTGTACAAGGTTTTTCCATGATGTCCTCATAATAACCATTTCAGAAGATTTGTGTGTGCTTCTTTTCTTCTATCTTTCCTTACTTGTTTCATGTTTGGAATTTGCTTACATGATAGTTATAAAACTTTTATAGGTACGTAAGCCCTATGTGTACATATCTCTCTATATATATTATCTTTGATCAAGTGAAGATATATATATATATATGTATGTATATATACATTGCAATATGGATAAACTCTGACTTAGTAATTTGTAAAAGGATTGCTCTAATATATCATGTGATAGAGATGACTAATTTTGAGAAATTACCAGGCAGGCACTAAGAAAGAAATAAATTTGATAGTACGCATGTGATAGTACAATATTGATGGATCTATTTTTTTCTTATCCCCCCTCCCCTTATGCAAATGATTTTATCTGTCATGTGAAATTATGATGGTTCTACTTCTCCCAATTTGGTTACATTTTTGCTTCAAGTCATATGAATTGCTCATGTGCATAAAACCTCTTGCTTTTTGACAGGGGGCAAAGCATTTGTATATGAATCATCTGCGTCCATTCCTTTTGAGGCATCAAGCTAGGCTTGACCAAATTTTGGGGTGTTTATACGGTGAAATGGTAAAGCATCATGTTATCTCATATTATTATGCCAGTGAATGGATTGTTTAGATCAGGTCAACTTGCCAATTTTTTGCTATAAATCCAGCTGATAGTATGCAGAGACAATGATTCCATCTACTAAGCTCCTTTTTTTTCTTTTTTTCTGTTTTTTTTTTTTTTTTTTTTTTTTTTTGTTCTCTCTTGATACTCTCGGTATCTAGCCCACTAGACTGACTAATTTGAGAGACCGATTCTGCCATCCACTAGCGGGGGCCCCAATTAAAGCAGGGGCAAAGTCCCATATGGACTGGCCTCAAGAAATTGTTTCGGAGGTTTTGAACTTGAGACCTGGAGGGAGCACACTCCCAGACCCCAAACCTTGACCATCTGCTGGCTCCTTGACGTTGGGACTAGGAATGGGGGGGCTGGGGATATGAATTTATGGCTACAATTCTAAATTTCTTGTTTCATTACCCTCTCTAACCCTTAGATAAAAGAAGAGTTGCTTGGGGCTTTGAGTGTTGAAAATCCCAGTGTGACAAAAAGGCTTTGGCTATTGAACCTTGAAAAAAAATGAGGTCATCATCCGAACGGCATAAATGATTCTCCATGACATCTCTCTTTCTTGCTTCCAAATTTTGAGTTAAAAGTGTAGATTGAATAATATCCTAGCATGCATCCTTTTCGTATTTTGCCAAACATTTTCTAGTTGCAAATTCTGGTTGTGTGATAGTTTTATGGACTTGCAGGCTAAGTTAACAAGTGCACATCAAGCAGAAATACAATTTGCAAAGACACTTGTTATGAAGATTTTGGTTTCAGGTAATGTTCCAAACCCACTAGGGAATTCTGCTAAATTTCAGAAGGTCATTTGAATGTGAAATTTAATTTATAATTCTATGTATACCTTGTTAAGAATTTTTAAAACGGTACATATTGTTTGGTGGTTCTATTTAAGCTATTTTTAGTGTCTTCTCATCATTGAACATTTGTGGAAAATAGCATATTCACTCTTTGTGCAGTATGTACTTGAGGAATTTTATATATCAGTCTTTCAACTTCTTTTTGGAATTATATATATCCATCTTTTTTTTGGACCCCGGCCTTGAATCAGCAAACCAAATGGCGAGCGATATCTTTCACCCAGTGCAGAGACAGGCTAATAGTGCAATTGAAGGTCCAACAACACAAGTACAGAGGCAAGTTAACGATGTGGTCGAAGACCCGACAACACAAGTACAGAATTCCGAATCAGACAATGACGAATGATATGGTCTATTATATGATTAGCAGATTTCCTCCACCACCTTATAGATTAGAATCATATTTTACAATTTTCCTGTGCATATTATGGCTGGCATTTAACGTCTAAACGGTATTACTCTGGGCAAGAGGAGAAGTTCTACATCAAGCTATGAGCTCCACTTTTTATTTTTTGGTAGTAAACTTGGATTCAGTTGCTTGTCCAATTTGTTTCAACATTAGTTTGTAAATGGGATATTTTGGCTGTTAAAATATCTGCAATAGTCTATTATTTGTAGTGTATCAACGCTACATATTTTTTTCAAGGATTAATGAGTCAAATTTGAAAACTTAATGAGGTTGAGAGGTAGAAAAACTTCTTCCATGTCTTAGACAGCATACTGTTTTTTGAAATTTAGACTGGCTAATGTTTGTCTTTTGGTTTTACAGTTGCACCCTGCTGCTTGGGTGCTATTTTGGTTTGTAAATGCCGGTGCCAAACAGAACCTTACTGCGTCTATTGGTCTATTTAAATTTTTTTTATTTGGCTTCCTCTGGGTGGGTGGTTAGTTAACTTGCCTCGTTTAGTATGTTGTTTTAATAATTTTTTAACTTTTTATAAAAAGATGTGTAGAAAAATAGCGAGAGTGATGTAATAATTTATAGTGATTTTTTGACTTTTTGACTAAAATTGAAAGTTGTCAAACAAGTTAGGTTTGTATAAGTTTGATTTTAATTAGATTTAAATGGTTGGTTTGGGAACCCCAATAATAGTAAAAAAGATTAAAAAATTACTAAAAAAATTAAAAAGTTAAAGAATTATAAAAGAAGTTAAAAATTTTCTTTTCTTTTTGTTTTTTACACATTTTTTTTTTAAAAAAAAGTCAAAAAATTATTTTATACATATTGATTTTTTTTTAATTTTATATTTTAGCTAAAACGTTATTAAAAATATGACTTATTTACTTTTTGTGTTGATCTCAAATGAAACAGATTGAGCTAGTGTAATTTAGCTTTTTATAGTGCACATAATTGAGTTAAAAGTTATTCAAATTTAATTTAAAATTTTAAAAATATTTAAAATGTGTTTAAACTTATTTTGTTCATACAGGTTGATATCAATTAATTGATTTTTTAATGAGTTGAATATAAGTCAAGCTGAGGTTATTTGTTTTAAGAAAAAAAGCTAGTAAGTTATATAAGTCTTATCAAATTTTAACATGGACAATTAAGGCTTTATTTGTCATAATTTAAAAAAATTACAAGCTAAAAAGTTATTATCCTATTTAAGTCGCATCATTTTACTTAAGTCACACCACCTCTCTACTACATCACTTCAAACCCAACCAATATCCAAATCATATTTCATAAAAAGTCAAAAAGTATATTTATTTAGATCATTCCAAACCACCCCTAAGCCTTATTTTTCATAAAATATTTTCAAAAAGTTCGATGCTCCATAATGGTGAATGTTATCTCAAATTTATCTCTCATTTAATATGATCAATAATTTCATAAATAATTTTAATCTAAGTAAAATTATATTGTTTAATTATAAAAATTATGATATTGTATTAAAAAAAATCATAAATCACAATGAAAAATTTATCAATAAGTTCTATTTTGTTTTGAAAGTTACTATTGAGTTATATCAAACTTTGAATATTAACAAATAAGTCGCTTTTTTTATTTTATAAATTGTTATAAAAAATTCAATTATTCATACTAGTATATTTTATTTTTATTTTATCTTTCTAATTAAAATATGAACCAAAAATTCATAAATAATTATAATTTATTTAAAATTTTATAATTAAATTATTTTCAATTGTTCATATGGAGAGATCAACATAATTTACCTAATATATTATTGTTCAACATTTGTATGACACAGTTTAGTCTGTGACTTCAATTTATCTGGAAAAGGCTAACAACAATGTAATGATTCAATTAAGGAAAAATATCAAATAAATAATAATAATAATAATAATTGTAAATCAATAGAAATTGTGTTCAGTGTAATTGAAAAAATGTGCCCGTGCAACTAAATTTTTTTTTTATTTTTACAAATTTGGATTTTTAAAAAAAATTTATCTAATTTTTTTTTTTCAATTTATTAATTCCATGGTGAAGACATGGGACCAATACATTTTCCAAGAGTACATTAAAGAAGTTAAATGATTGATTAACTCAAATTCGAAAAGAGACAAAGTTGAAGAAGTGCCAATTCACCAATAAATGGCTATATTGTATTTTTTAATTAATTAAATTAGAATAAATTTTGGGTCGTGTTCTGTACGGCTTATGTGGCAACTTCTAATTGGTTTGTTGGACACTTTTGCTAGAAAATGGCCCACACTCCAGCGGGGTGACCCCACCACCTTACTGTTTTTTGATTGGTTCATAACTTTTTTTTCCTCTTTCCTTTTTTCTTTTTCTTTTCTTTTTTTTTTTTTTTTTTTTTTACCTTTTTGGTGTTTCCCACCACCACCACCTTGCCTTCACTCATAAAAATCAATGAGAAAGAGAGTGTTTTGATGGGTGAGAAAAGCAATTGACTTTTAGATTTCACAAGGTTGACATTTGGCATAAAGTGTTTTCATTTTGAAAGAATCCAAAGCACATAATCACTCCTCAAAGCAATCTTTCTCTCTCTTTCTCTCTCCTTCAATGGATAGATATAGTATAATTAATGGCTTATGATGGGGCTAGCTCAAGGAGGAGTCAATGGATACACAGACTCACTTGGTGTCTTCAGTACACATTTATGATTTTTATTTTTTTTAAATTTATAATTAAAAATTATATTTTAATAAAATAGAGAAAAAATAGGGAGTTTATTAATAAAATAGGGAAATAATAAGGACTCTATTGGGGGGAATAAATGAAAATGTGATTCTTAAAATAAATAATGAATTTTTTAATGATATTCTAGGGTAAAATTTAGATAATTTGATAGAGATGCTCTAACTAATCAAAAGTTAGCACCTATTGTACTACCTTATTGTCAGTCAAATTATTGATGCTTTTGTAAGTCTCAAACATTTAACTTAATTTTATCAATTTGAATTTTAAATTTTAAATTTATTTTTAATCTAAATTATTTATCCAATTTTATTAAGTAAAATCGATGAAAAAAATAATATTTTAATAATTAAACTTAATGTATGTGTATAAAAAAATTTTAAAATATATATATATATATATATTTAGTTTAGTGACTAAATTATTCTTTTTTTTTTGCCAATTTTTCTTAAACAAAGATAGGTAGATAGTTTAGATGGAAACAAATCAAAATATTAAGATTTCAATTAATAAAATTTAAAACTCATGTTTATTTTGTTATAAGAGTTTGAGAGTTTTTTTTTTTTAAATAAAAAAAGAAAGTTTAGATGGAAACAAATCAAAATATTAAGATTTCAATTAATAAAATTTAAAACTCATGTTTATTTTGTTATAAGAGTTTGAGAGTTTTTTTTTTTTTAAAATAAAAAAAGAAATGACAGAGAGAGAAAATGAAGAAATACACACTTATGCTTGGAAATTTATTTGAAGAATAAGGGTTGGTTTAGAAATTAACTTTATTAATGATTTTTTTAAACTTTTTATGAAAAAAGACATGCAAAAAAAAAAAAAAAAACTAGAGAGAATGATTTGATAATTTATTATGAGTTTTTGCAAACAAAGCCTAAGGTTTGTCCCACTCCACGGAGATTGAAATGTGCTGTTTGGAACGAGTGACATTATGATGATTCCATTTATTTATTTTTAAAATTACTTATAAAAAATATAAAATTCTTGATAATTAATTATATTTATTTTCAAAAAAATAAAACATGATTTTGAAATAATAGTGTATTTTCTTAAAAACAAAATAAAATCATAATTTTGTTATGGATCATCTCCCCATCATATCATTGAAGTGGAATTATATGGCTCTACATGATGGACACTAAAGAGAACTTATTCTTACTTATGAATTTTTCAAATTCAAATTTTATATAATAAAATTTTGATATTTTAGATAAATTTTTAGACAATACTACCAAGGTGAAATTAGGGATGATAAAATTATCCAATTCGATTGTATTTGTCTCAACTTGATTTTTATAAAAAAAAAGATTTGAGAAAGCATTGATAGAGTAAGGTAAAATACAAAAATACACAGGTTAAAACTGTCAAATTTAAGATAAAATATGAAATTATATCATTAAAATAGTTAAGTTTAAAATCAATAATTCGCGCGTCAAACTCAAAAAATCCAATCAATTGCCATCCTAAGTGAGACTCATAAACACGCTAACAACAAGACATCCTTTAGAATGCACATTGGTTATTTGAGAAGAATATATTTTAATTTAAAAATCATTAAGAAATTTCAAAAGTCATATAAAAAAGGTCAAAGATTCATTTCTTTAACTTTTTATACGATTTCTCATAAAAAATAAAAAATAAAAATTCCATACATTTTCTATACTTTTACTTTATATTTTAGTTAAAAAAAAATGCTTAATCCATATAATTTCTCCTCTAAAAATGCCTTGAATAAAAAAAAAAAAAGATAAATTAATGATCCACGCTTCTACACTCTCCTCTTCTCTCAAAATCTTCCAACTAACCTTATGTGGATCTAGCACTACTAAAAAATAAACGGGATTTTTTTTTAAGGTCCCTGGTATTAAAATTTTATAGCATAAAGGACACCAAAGATTTTCATAATGTCTAAGGTCCCTCAATTTGATCCAGAGAAATTTCATCTAGAGAATTTCTCTAGACTTCCCAGAGAAATTTCTCTCCAGAATTTCTCTGGACCTCTGAGAGACTTTCTCTCCAAAGAACTAGAATTTCTCTAAGAGGTTTCTCTATTTCTCTGACCTTCTAGAGAATTTCTCAGAGAAAATTTATACAACGGCCAAAATCCCAGAAAATTTCTCTGGATAGAAATTTTTTCAGAGAAAATGAATGAAGAATTTCTCTGGATCACTTTAAGCCAAAGAAATTCTCTCAAAATCAATGAAATTCCTAAAGAAACATTTCCAGAGAAATTCTCTTTAACCCAGAGAAAATTCAGTTCAAATAAAAAAAAATTCAGTCAAAATCAAAGAATTTCTCTGGACCAACCCAGAAAAAATTTAGTTCAAATCAGAATTTCTCTAGTCCAAACACACACCATATATATACATAAGAGTACCAATTCTGTTATGTGTCTGTGTGTGTGTGATAAGTAGAGTATATCATTCTAAATTTAACAAGTAACACTAGTTCAACTATGCACAACTTAGCAGCACAAATAACATAGGTACAAAAACCAATTTAAATTCAAATCTTCATCAAGTTGAATTGAGTGGTCTAGAC